CACAGACACTTGTTCCACTCTCAGCTGATGGTGATTTTAGTTATGTGGTTGTTGCAAGGTGCTTGAACAAATGAGCATCCATCTGAAGTATGCAGACCTCAACATGCTTTGAGTAAAAAGATTTACACTGCTGTCTTTTAGGAATTTACTCCCCTTCGTCCAGTTTAAGATTTTTATTCAAATGCCTTGCAGTGGGTAAGTAAAACAGTACTGGTTTTATTTGCCATTGTTCTACTCCAGTGAAGACAGTGACATCTTTGTGTTACCTGGACTTCCTAAGAGATTTTATGGTGCTTTGTGCTCTGTGAATTTGTTTATCTGAAATGGCAGGTGATGGAGTTAATTACCTGTTGGTTGCCGTTGACAGAGAAGAACCATAATGTTGTTTTCTTATTAGTAACAAAGTAAAATTAAATAATTTCCCCCTTGACACTATTCCCCACAAGATTAGGAAAGCTGAGGATCTTTTTTAAGAAAGTAGAAGTCCACAGGTAAAAGCTTGTAATAATTGTTCATAAACCCTTTGGGATCGCACCTGCATGGATAGCATGTCTGTTCTCCCGTCTTTGTTCCTGGAGTAGACACACAGCTGAAAATACTGACTCAGAAGTATTTATGATGGATTTTTATTTGCTCTATAGCAATTTTAAGGGGATTTTGGTTTATATAAGTTTGCTTTAAAGAGACTAGTTTTGTAAATGCATAATGTCAGTTTTTGGTGTTAAGCAAGAAATTTCGATGAGTTGCAGTGGCCTTTTTCTATCAGAAGTTCAGTTAAGTTTTGAAACTTTGCAGTTGTTATCCTCAGTAAATATCTAATCTCAGATCCTATTACCTGGCTAATTCCCTACTGTCCCCAACCAAAACACTTTTGAAACTAAGTAGTGGGCTCAGGGCCCAATACTAAAATTTTGTTGTTTGCTTGTGGTTTTTGTTTGTTTGTTTGTTTTTTAATGAAAAGATCATGTGTTTGGCAAAGACAGAAGAGGTCTAAGGTAGCTACCAAATACAGCTAAGCTCTGGCTAAGAGAAGAGAGGCTATTAGTACAGCCAGTTTTAAACTAATCTGTCTTGTGTTATTTCTGCTATTAAGACTGAATAATTTGGTTGTAAGTGGTGTGCAAGTGGTTACAAATACTGGTTACAAGCAATCTGTAAAAGGGTGCTGTGCAAAGAATATTTACAGGGAAGTGCTGGACAATGAGTAAATGCTGAGGACTTCTATGTACGTAGTCTAACACCTCTTTCCAGAGGGAGAGTGGAGCTGGATCCCAGTAGAGTTCAGAAAAAACGTGAGAGGTGTTATCTGCTACAGAATGCTCAGAGGTGTGAGCAGACAGAGATATTCCACGAAGGACTTGTGAAGAGTGAGGGAGTGAAGGCTGCCGTGTTCCCTCATCTTGTGTTTGATCAACTGCAGGCTCTTTGCCCAGAGGAAACTCAATGCTTCTCAACAGTGTAGGCAAAACTGGATTTGGCCATGAGAGATGATGGAGTGGGGCTCCCTACAGTAGAAGAAGGAGGGGAAATGGGTGCATTCTGGACAGACACTAGGGAGACAGGCATGCCATTTTCTGGAATTGGGACTGATAACAACAGTTGGGAGAGACCCCTTATTTTCCATAGAGTCACTGTCTGCATGCTGGTTGTTCCCCTCCTTTCCCTTGTCATCGGCAGAACTGCAGCTCCAGGCTTGTGCATGGGCTGAGTCTGTCAGCCGTCTGCTTCCTCAGCTGAGTTCCTGCTTTGCCACTCCCCTGTTCAGTGTCACACCTGCAAGCTCATTTTTACTTCTTTTAAAAGTCCCTTCTGAGTCTCTCCTTCCTAGGGTACAAGCCCTGTTGGATAAGGGAAGTGATGGCCTTACCTTCTAAATAGTGAAGGGGAGTATCCTGTATTAAACGTGCACACAATTGAATCCAGCTCACTGAGTAGTCTCAGCTATGCTGTGACTGACTGATGCATGACAATGTCTGTCCTTCCTTCAGATTTTAGAGCATTTTCAGATTTCTACAGTCATTGCTTCTATTTCAACTCACTGATGAAGAAGTCTGTGTGGGATGTTACTCCTTCCCCTGCTTTCACTAGTAATGCTTCCCCTGGAAAGGAGCTCCCAGTAACAAGAAACCTCTGTAATGACGCCACAAAAATGTCTTGGGAATAAAAAAAGCAGTGTGCCCTTGTGGGCAAGAAGGCCAGTGATATCCTGGGGTGCATTAGGAAGAGCATTGCCAGCAGGTTGAGAGAAGCAATCCTGCCCCTCTTCTCAGCCCTGGTGAGGACCATCTGAAGTTCCGTGTCTAATTCTGAGCTCCTCAGGACAAGAGAGAGATGGAGCTCCTGGATTGGGTCCAGTGGAGGGTTATGAAGATGATTAAGGGACTGGAGCATATTTTATGAGGAAAGGCTGAGGGAGCTGGGTCTGTTCAGCCTCAAGAAGAGACGACTGAGAGGGGACCCCATCAATGTCTATCAGTGTCTGCAGGGGATGGATCCAAACTCTGCTCGGTGGTGTTGAGCAATAGAACAAGAGGTAACAGGAAGAAACTAATGCACAATAAGTTCCACCTGAACATGAGGAAGAACTTCTTACTGTGCAGGTGTGTGCACACTGGAACACACTGCACAGAGAGGGCTTGGAGTCTCCCTCACTGGAGATACTCCAGAACTGTCTGGATGCAATCCTGTGCCATGTGCTCTAGGATGACCCTGCTTGAGCAGTGAGGTTGGACCAGATGACCCACTGTGGTACCCTCCAACCTTACCTAGACTGTGATTCTGTGGTAAACCAGAAATTTTGGTCTTGCATCTCGGGCAGCATTTAAAAGCCATGAGATTGGAATGGGAAAGCTCCTCTGGTGATCACTGGTCTCCCTGAAGGTAATTATGGAGCTCCATGTACCACCTGGTACAGTTAGACTCGGCCTAGGCTTTCTTTAACGCCTGCACAGTGTGTTGTCATGAAATAGTTTTCATGGTTCTACAGAGAGTAAAATTTCCCCACTGTGTGCAGCAGGGCTGTGCAGGAGATGATTGGGTTGTGTGTTGGAAGCTACATGTTAAGTCCCTGAGTTACAAATTTCATATTAGTAGCAGGCCTCCTACACTGGAGAAACATAAAGAGTTTAAAATGCATCAGACAGGCTGCAAATGAGCATGGATGTGCTGAAAATGAAAGCTTTGCTGTCTGAAAAATCTTACATGGTGACAGCTGAACAATGAGGAATGCAGTTAACACACTTGAAGTTTCCTATTTGTTCAGTTTTGACCAAGCTCTTACCTACTGCGTTACAATATTTTAAAAGGTTATGTTTCTTAAGTGGCTCATCTCCCTAAGCTAAGAATCTGGAAGTTTTCTTTGGAATGGCAGCCTATACATAATTTTTATTATTTTTTTTTAACTTTCCTGTTGAGTTTTTCAGCTGACTTGCACAGGAAATAATTTGCATTAATTTGGACAGCTTTTCTTTAAGTGCATAGAGCATATGTACTATTGACAATGCTTTTATAATGCAGATTTTACAGAACCTGTGGATTTGTCTGGACTGGGTTGCTTTTATGCTTGTCGTATTTTTTATGTTTTCTGGAGAGCCTGATGCTGGAAGTGATCCCTTCAGAGTCTCTGGGAAGGGGGATAGGGGCTGCTAAGGGCTGAAGCGCTGCTGGGCTGCACGGAAAAGAAACATGAATGCTTCCCTCAGCAGCGGAGACAGCTGTATATTTGGGAAGGCTGTGGGGATCTCCAGGGGTAAAAAGATTCCTAAATATTTTAAATTTCTTCAACCTACGTAGATTTACTGAAAGCACTGAAGTCTGGCTTTGAGTGATGAGAACCGCGGGCTGTCCAGGCGGCTCGGGGGCTCCCCATCCCTGGCGGTGTTCAGGGCCGCGCTGGACGGGGCTCTGAGCAACCCGGTCTGGTGGGAGGTGTCCCTGCGCACGGCAGGGGGTTGGAACTGGGTGGTGTTTAAGGTCCCTTCCAGCCCCAACCATTCCGGGATGCCGGGAGAACACCCGGCGGAGGGAGCGGCGCCTCCTGCGGGGCCGCAGCGGCACCTGCCGGGCGGGGGATGGGGATGCTCCCGCCGCTCCCGGCTCCCGGAGGTGCGTTCCAGCTTCACTCCTGGATGACCACCGGGGCTAAAGACCTAGGGTGCGTGTAAATTAAATGTGATTATTTTATTTTTGTTTTCCCGTGGGCGGGAAGGCTCAGGAGCGGTCCCAGGGATGCTGTTTTTTCTCTCACGACACTTCATAGCTGCCTCTGGCTGCAGCAAGGGAGAATAATTTTACACTTCTTCACGTCTTCACGTGGATCGGAACAACTCCTTCCCCTGGGGCTGGAAATGAGGTGTAGATTTTACCAGGGAAAGCCTGAAGTGATTAGGGACTATTTTAGGGTAGGCAGCTTCTTCCGGTAGTTTACTCTAATGGCTGCAGTTAGTGTGGCCGTTCTGCTAAACTGCTTTCTGAGTTTAAAACAGCCAGCGATGGGTGGTGTGGTGTTCTTAGCAACTGGTTCTTTTCCTCTGGTTCGTTTTGTGATTGGTACCAATGCCACGGCTTTGGCAGGATGCACCAGCTCCCAGGAAGCTTTCCTAGGAAACTAGTGGGGCTTTCTGAGACCCTGGGGTGCCTGTGAACAAGACAATTGAGGATAGTTTATCAGAAGGTGTTTAAAAATAATCTGGCATATTGTGAATTTAGTCTTTCTACCTTAAGGTTGTGTATAAATAGCAGATTCAGGATAGCCATGCACTGGAAATTTTTAGAAGCTTTTGTTGTAGGTTATTTTATTTTGGTTTGGTTTAAGTTTCTATGGAAATAGTGATTCTACTTATTTATATATTGATTTTATATGTCTGCTAGTGATGTCTAGCAGGAAAGAGAATAGTTTATGAAATGATGAAATGAGTTTTCAGTTGGATGCCTAGAGCAGGTTAATTACTAATTAGTTACTGGGTTAGTAACTAACTGACTAGGGTTTTTTGACTGTTTGGAAGTGTGTACATGTGAAGAAGCAACAGTGGGTATAAGATGATGTGACTTGGTTGAGGTCACAAAGGAAAAACTCCACAGAGATACGTGAATGAAGAAATAAAATTGCTGTCTATAATTTTGGGCATCATATTTTTTACTGCTACTGTTCCTAGCAAATCAGATCCTTTTGACCCCTGTGCCATGCTAGCTGCTCCAAAAATAACAAAAATAGCATGTTTGGTAGTGCTTGTCAGGATCAAAGTGTCAGCATCATGGTATTTGAATCATGACAGTGGAACACAGTGTTTGTGGGTTGAGCTTTTCTGCTGGATTTGAACTTGCTCTGAAGTTCAAACCTGAACTTGCTCAGGTCATTGTGGTGCCTACTTGAAAGCAGAGGTGCTTGGGGGCTCCAGCATCCCATTTGCTGCCTACGAAAGAACAAGAAAGAGATTAATCTTTATTGCACTCACCTAGTTTGAGATTTAGTAGGCAGACCAAAGATTGCTTTAGCTAATTAGGCTCTCTAATTGGATTTAAAAAGTTATTAACCTTTTAAATTGGCTCTCCAGAGTGGTATGTCAGCATGTTCTGAGCTAATGTGCAGCCAGCTATTGGTTCCACTTGCAGGGCTGACAAGCAGAGGGCAGGTAGGGTCGGGTCGGCCCGTGGGGAAGGGAGAGCAGGGAAAAGCTCTGTGGCCCTGCTCTGCCATGACAGGGATGCAGGAGAGGAAGGTGGTGCAGGTTCTCAGCATGTAACACAGTCTAGGGGTGTGCCCAAGTAGCTGCTGCCTTACCTTCTGCATCACTTCCCGCTCATGGAGCCAGCTGGGATTTTACCAGGATGCTGAATGAAGAAAGAAAACTCTCTAAAGAGAGTTTTTCTCATTTGACTCTGTCTTGCATTTTTTTTTTTTTTGCCTCTCCTGTGGCATATATTACATTTCTTCATCCAGCAGACAGTAATGAGTTCCTCCTACATACTCCTCTGAGATGCCCAAAACAGAGTACTGAGAATGACTGGCCAAATTTGAGGGGAGGGTGTTTGTGTCAAAAGCTACAAAGGAGCATAATATTATTTGCTGGACATATTGTAAGGTTTGATTAGCATTTTACAAGTTTGGGACTACATCTGTTGGTGACTTTTTAATTCTTGATGAATTTGTGTTCAGTGTTTGCTCCTCTGCACCACTCAGTCCCAAAATAGTACTATATTAACATGTCAGAGATAACCTGAGACGTTCAGATATGCCTGTGATCAAAGTCATAAAGATGGATTGAATTTGGGTCTGCTGTAACATGTCTGCAAGAGCTTTCCTGCAAGCATTTCTCCTTGTGCTTTAGGACTTGTGACATTTTCTTTTTCCCCTATAACATTGTACTGTATATGAAGTCACATGGCAAGAAAGAAGATACATATTTATTCAAAGTTGCCCTATCAAGCCGAAGCCAATGTACAGCACAAAATCTCTCTGATATTCAGTTTTCAAATAACAAGAAGTTTAAAACCCCCAGCTCTCAAGACCTGGTGCATTTCTCTTTCTTGCCATAATAATTACTTTTCCATGGCTTGTAACTTACAGCACTCTGCGAGAGCTGAAGAACTGAGGGCAGCACTGAGCCATTTGTGGTGTCAAATGTGCTATTTGATGGATTTAATTAACACAGCAGCTGCTCTGTGCTTGCTGCTCTCCTTCCTTCTCATTCCTTGGCCAAAGATGATGCTCTACCTGCTCCACTGAGCTCAGCCTGACTGTCCCAGCCGTGTCACACTGTGCGTTGCTGGCAGCACGTCACAGGGCTGTCAGCCTGGTGACGATGGACTTCTGTCACTTCCCAAAGCTCCAGGGCTGACAGCAGTCCTCAGCTGCCAGCCTGCTCCCTCAAATTCCTGGCACAGAATATAAGGAAATATGCCATGCTTCTGGTGCTGAGCTTTTCCTCTAGTTCTGCTTCCAAACGCTTTGCTGAAAAGCATCAGTAACTTTTTCGGCTGTACATCGTACTCAGTGAAAAATATTCAGAGACAAGATTTGCCAAAAGTCAAGGATGGAGTTAATTCATGCAGTAATACACTCGATAATATCACTTGGTTCTTTTATCACACGGATCTTTATTCTTGTTATGCAAATTTGCTGGGTTCAGCCTGGAGTGAGAAACCTGTAGCTATGGAATGCCAGACTGAGGTACGGGTTTTTTCTTAATGGACTATTTACAGTGATGGAAGAATTAAAATAAAAAGAGGAATTTTTTTTGTATCAACTCCAAGAAAACAGTACTTTACCTGCTCTTATATTATATTACCAGCTATATGTGTGCCTTGTTGCAGAACCAAAGTGTGCAGTAAAATGTTTTCTCTCATTATAGTCTTTGTTTTTGCAGTTGTTAAACTCTTTATAGAATATACTGGGAGACTTCTGAAGTAATTTGTTGTCTTGTGTGTTAAAACTAAAATAGTGCAGCACTATCCCCTCTTAATGTATCAAGGCTTGTAAGTCTTCTGTGCAGTTCATTCAGCAAAGTTTATGCTGTAATGGAAACGTTCAGTGGGAATATGTGGTTGTAACCTGTACAGTCTGAAATGACACACACTTGGAAAAAATCTTAATGTGATACGTTGCAGTGAAGGGTTATAAAAATACGAAAAATAGATTCCTGCCCTACCCGTCCTCTGAAAGATTGATTATGCACTTCTTGGAAATGTGCTTTCAGTTCTGGAGAGCCAAATTTTGTCTGTCGTGGTTTATGAGCAGATATTCCTGAGCAAACACAGCCCTGCAGCAATTGGACCTGACACTCACTTGGGACTGGGAGCAACACGAAACTTGGGGATGTGTAGTCTCATCATCACCTCCTGGTTTGTGTTAGAGTATATTCTTGAAACCCCAGCTGAGAGAAGTTCTGCTGTTAATGTACTAAAATCATTGATGGTAAGAGTGAACAGTGATCTTGAACATCTTTTAATTTTCAAAGACAGAGTGGAGAAAGATGTGTCCTCCCCAGTGTATGGAAAGGAAGCTGAGCAGAAATGGAAGAAAAGTAAGGTTGGACCATGTGTTTGAGGACTGTATTTCTGATTGAGACTTACTTCTAGAACCACGAGCTTCTAGACAAGCTGGTTGAATGCGCTTTCTTTCCCACTCAGGAGAACCCAAACTGTGTTAAAAAAAATAAAAATAAAATATTGATTATGTGCTATCAAGTCGGTCTTCATCTGTTCTTCCTATAGATCAGAGAGAACCTTGCTGTCTGTAGTTTGGGATTGGCATAAATGTGTCTGTTTATATATATATATACACATGCATGCATGCGTTTGTGTTTTGTATTCTGTCTTCCTCAAGAAAGGAGAAAATGGAATATACTGTATGTTCAGAAAAAGGCAAACTACAGGCTTGCATTTTAACAAGTTCTGGATGGCTGTAGGCTGCCACACGAGCAGATTTGTTTTCAAGGGCTCAGTGGTTCAATCTTGAAAGCTGGTAATCAATGTTTTAATTCAAAGCTACTAAGACCTCTGCAAACACACAACTTTAAAAATGATTTAAAGATTCTTTTTTTGTTTTGATTTCTGAAAAATTAATACTTCTAAAAATCACTTTCAAAAGTCATGAACCATAACGAAAGTATAAAAGAAACGGAAAAAATCTTTAGATATCATAGGTCAAATACAAGTTTACAGGTTTTAGTGCTATGTGGAACCAACACTTTTCAGAATGTTAGTTAGCCCTGTATATCTGATATATTCACACTACAAGTCTTGAATAATATTGTCACTGCATAGGTAGTATGAAAGAAAATGTTATTTACAATATGGTTAAAAGCAGAATAAGATTCATTTTAGAAGAACTGTAACATCAAAGTCAATTAAAATTCAGTGTTATGCCAGTAATAAAACTATTGGAGTGAGTGCACTGTAGGGAATTATTCAGCTATTAGCTATTTCTGTACTAAATGGAACTTCAACAAAGCTATTTTTGAGGCGGGTAAATGCCAGAGATAAAAGTGGACTTACTGTCATTTTTGGCTTCTGATATGTACCTTTTTTCCCCCCTTTGTTAAAGCCTTTGTGTCCCGAGCAAACGGTAAGATTCCAGAGGTCAGAAGTGTTTTGTGTGTGTGGCTTTTTGCATGGCTGCCATGGATCAGTGTTTGCACAAACAGCAGCAGCAGCTTGGATACCAATGCAAAACAGCCTTGTTAAATGACTATTTAGTGGCAACTGGTACTAGAGTCCAACTTTTAGTCCTTATTTAGTTGTAGTTCTTTCCTCCTGAAGGAAGAGGAGGGGAAGAGGTTTTCTGTCATCACTCGTGTCAGAATTAGGTGCTTTCCAGTCCTCTCAGTCATAATAGATCAAACCACTGTGCAAACTTATCTCGGGAGCAGGTAGAATAAATAAATGCACAAGGGACAACTCCTCTCCCGTGATCCCTGAGAAGTTTGGAAGAAGGAGAACTGAACTGAGAGTTGCTGCCACAGAACTGATGGTGCTACAGAAAACAGACAGGCTCACAGGAGCTGTTTTCACACAGTGGTTTCTTCCTTGCAGACATCTTCAGTGCTGGGCTGTGATTGCCAGGGAGCTCCCTGAGCCCATTGCCTTACCAGGACTCCTGTGGGACTTGCAAATAAGGGCTTAGCTGTCTTTTTCCCTGTTAATGTCTGCTGCTAAGTGCCCCGGTGCTATTTGTAAGCTCATAGTAATAATATTGACAGAGGTTGTTGTTTCTATTTTGCTTTACAAACCAGTGCTGAATGTACCCCTGTAATTCCCTCCTCCAGTTCTCAGAAGTCAATGCCCTGCTTGTTTCTGAAGTGGAGGAAATGTGCAGTTTCTAATCCCATCTTTGGAAATCTTGTTACCTCTATAATCATTAAAGGCAGAGAGCAACATTAGACACATATGTAAAACATAATTTTACTTTCCTTTCTCTGGTGCAGCCCCAACTGCTTTTTCTAAAATCCTATTCAGGACTTTTTCCTCAAAGTTTTAAATGCCAAAACAATTCAAGCACAAGCTAAAAAGCCTACATAAAAGGAGTGCCAAAACTAGGAAAACATGTAACAGAAGAAATATAAAGCTATGTATATATTGCTGTTGTGTTTTCTGTAACTGGCATTCCGATTACTTTTATTTATTACTTATATAAGATTATATTTCTTATAGTAGGAAAAGATAATTAGAATAGAAATGCAATGGCTTTGCTCTCAGAGGTGAATGAAAACTGAGGATTTTAAATCTCATTGCTGCAAAAGAATCTTTAGTTTAATTTCTACATGATCAGGATGCTGTTGTTTGGCCTGGGTATTTAATTTCTGTGAAAAAGGTGAGGATGGATGGTGCAGGATTGAATACTAATGATTAATACATTTATATCTGTGCCTTTTGCATTTCCTTTTAAATTTAGGGTGAGTTTTCAAAAGAGACACTACTTTAGCAAACGCCTTGGAGTCACTGGCATTGGGGGACAACACTAAGTTTCGTTAAACCTGTGAAAATCCAAATACTTCCTATGAGATGAAGAAGTGTTTAAGCAACAGAATGTATGAAAACTGTCTGATCTTCCTTCAAAAACAGGAATGTAAGCTATAAAGGCTTTCCCAAATGTGCTCCTCTTATGTAGCACCGCAAGTTTTAATAATACTGAAGGAATGTGGATGTGTTGTGTTGTGGTGGTCTTGTGAATGTACCCATTTTCTACCAACAGTGAACAGCTCTACTGTTTTAGATATTGATTTTTTTTTTTTTAAATTTGTGTTTGTTTGTTTGTTTTGTTTAGAACTGTTCACCTGGGCATCTGAAAGTCAGATTTGAAACGTACTATTAAATATTGGCTTTTTAGAGCTTCAGTCAATTGTTTAAAGACACTGACAAATTTTATCACATAGATAAAACTTACACTAAGGGAAACACTGTACTCTTAATACGTCTACAGTACTGTGTTTTACTATTAGTTCAAAAATCTTATAATCCTATTCTTTAAAAAATGAGTTATTTTAATTTTTTTTCCATAGGATTGAGGAGACATTAGGAAAAATTGAGCAGTTCTAATAGAGGAAAACTTGTTCTTCTGAGGAATATATTTTCTTGCTCATCTAATATGAAGTGAGTGTTCATTAGGAGCGTAAACAGCTAATTTTTATTCTCATATGCTTCAGGTAAAGTATCTTATGGGGTTTTTTTGCTAGTAAGAGATGGAACTGGGATTACCTTTCTTGCTCCTAACTAACAAAACATTTGCCTGTTCAGGAAACTGAGACCTCAGAATATATTTACACATTTTCTCTTAGTTTAAATTATTTTGTAGCGTTTTCAGTGAATTGGTGAACCTGATCATGGTATCAAAATAGCACAAATTGGTTAAGTTTCTACAATAAGCAATCATTATTAATGTTTTTATCACATTATCCTAAGGCTTAAGATTATATATCATGTAGTCACACATTATTTAATTGTAGTCACATAATGTTGTCCCCCCACCAACTGTTTCATAGGGTGTCAGTGCTTTGGGACACTTTACAGAGAGACTCTTCTTCCTTAAATGTGCTACATGGTGATGAGATTCTCTGATCTAATTTCTTCAGTGCTCCCCACCAGTTGAAGTTTTTGCTGTAGCAGGGACTTTTCTCTTGTTAAGATAGAGATAAATGAGTCCTAGAAATGCAGGGGGGCTTTAGCATGGGCGAGCAGTGAGCCCTGATGTTGCTGGTAGCCTTGGAAAGAAATGCCTCCTGGCTCTGTAAGGCTGCAGGGAGTTAGAAGCTGGGAGCATAGAGTAGAGGAAAAATTGTGATGTGCTTGCCTCAATGTTTCCCTTAGGATAGCATCTGGGAGAGGATATGGGGCTGGTGGAGCTTTTGGCCATGGCCCTTCTAATGTTTTTGTTACCTGAGGGGTCTGAGCTTTCCAGGCTGCCTCATCCTTTGAATTGGAATGGAATTTGGTGATGGGTCCTCCAAAGCACCTCGGGATCCACCCAGATGGTTTGGGATGAGGATCCCCCCTGCACCTTCTGTGGTTTTTTTCTGCCTGTTTCTGCAAGAACAGGTACAATTGTGTTCATCCTTCCTTGGGATTTGCCGACCCTCCACCGGCAAGTGAAAAGCATTCCCCTGCGAGGTGCTTGGGTAGGGAAAGAATAGAAGGTAATTTCAACTGAGAAACTTCTTTGGCCAGCTGTGCTTTGTAGTGCCTCTCAGTAGAAGGCATTCGTTGTCTTTCTCCTGTCTAAACCAAGGCCGAAATTTAATTTCAATGTTTTCTAGTCATGCAATACCCCTGGGAATGAATCCTGTAAAACAGCCTGGATCAGGCACGTACCAATTGTAGACCTGGTTAGTCTGAGTGAACTTTAACTTTGTTATGTTAGTACAGAATAATTAGTAGAAAACCAAAATGCAATTTTGTCTAAAAGAATGGCAGTTCTGGGGCTTTACCTCACCTATAGCCTTGCAAGGCTTTTAATGTCCTGACAAGCAATCTGTCAGAGCAGGAATGTTGAGTGCCTTCATTTTTTACTTCAGTTCTTTTCTTACAGGAGCTCAAGTGACTCCACTGAAACTCTGGCATTTATCACAGACAAAATTAGGCCAGAAGAAAGCACAGAGGTACCGAACTGAAAAGCGATAAATTCATCCTTAGCAGAAAAAAAAAGTCTCAAACTGCAAACTTGGGTTTAATTTGTCTTTTCCACGTAAGGTAAGACTTTTCCTAACGGATTTTACAGGCAAGCTAGTGGTGTCTTTGATATAAATGTACTATTAGGTTTTGTAGGAAGAATATTAAATACTTTTTTGTTGAGCTATGTAACTTCAAGTAACTAAAGAAGAGCATTTTTCCTAAAATTGAGCAAAAGCAACCTAGGGAAGACTCTGTCCCAGGTTGATCTGATGGTTAGTGTCCAGTCGTGGAAGCTGCTGAGCACGTTTACATAGCAGCAAGAGTGGTGGGATTTATTTGTAGTCCTTATTTGCAGAACCCCAGTACTTGTGTTCTGGTTACTACCAACCTGATGATAAAGCTGATATATAAAATCTGATTGTATGTATGACTGACTGCTGGTATGACATTTTCTGGTGTGAAAAATTACAACTTTCCAATTGGCACTTAAGGAAACAAATATTAGCATATTTGCTGTAGAACATATTCCTTGATTGCATATACTGTTATAGTTTAGAAGAGGTTGGAATTTCTTGCTGGGCTTGATGGAATATGTACATACAGAAACAGCACACTTAATAAATAACCTCTTGAAGAAGATGCCTCTGGTTTTACCTAAACATCTTTTGGAACACATTGGTGCATTTGCCTATTGACCTTCATCTCATGTAAATCTGATATTACTCACAAATTTTCTACAGGGATTCTTCTCATCTAAAAGCTTTTGTAAGCAATTATTTTTCCTATGAATTCATTACCTAAAGATATAGGACTCTAATAATAAACTGGGTGAGAATGGGTAACAACTCCAGATTTATCAGTTATTTTTGATACAACTCCCCTCCAGTAATTATTGAAAACTTTTTTTGCAACCAACCTACCAGCTTCTGCAAGAGGGGAATCGTGGTTCACACCATCCAGCACTACATCTGATGTTTAATAGTCCCAGTGAATCAAAGTTTTTTTTTCAGTAGAGAGGATGTGGGGAAGAAGACTGGAAAGGGCAGTCAGGATACAGGGGGTGGTTTCTGACAATTTTTATAGTGGTAATAGTGTGCTATATCAATGTACTGTGTGCTGGTCCTGTTATTTACCTTTGTGATGTGACTGAATTCCTTGAGGCCACTCATGTGTGCAAACCTTAAGCACAGGTGGGTTTGCAGCCTCAGTCCACAGGCTGTGTGATCTACACTCAGTCTTCTGAGTGAGAACAAATTGTACCTGGGTGCAAGGTTCTGCAAACAGAAAGAACTTGGCCAGGAGAAAGAACGTGGCAGAGCTCTGGCCACCAAGCTGCAACTCTGACAGTGAACAGCCGAGGTGACCAGCGACCCCCAAAATATTTAAATCCAGCATGAAGCAAGTCAGCAAAGCACGTGTGGTTCTGGATGTTCTGTGGTTTGTGTCAAATCAAGGTTATGAAT